CCCACTCACCCTCAGAGCTGGAAAATGAATATACTGAAGGGCAGCTTTTACTTAAAATAAGGAACAAATAAACTTAAAAACCAAGTGGAAAGGCAGAAAAAGATTTACAGCCATCCTCAGACAGATGCTTAAAAGAGAGGGGTAGATCCACAGCAGGTACCGGCTCACCTGGCCTGTTGCGATTGGTCAGCATGTTGACTGCTCGCCCCGTCTACTCACAGACAACCTGATGACCTTCCAGCACTCCGCCACAGCGTGTTGTCCATCACTGGCCGTGCATGTTCACAGATATATGCCTTAGTTCATCAATTTTCACTCACTGTCTCTTTTCTCTCAGCCTGTATATTCAGGAGCAGAGTCCTCTGTCTTCTGATTTTTTAGTTTGCCCGTTCCACACAGACTGCCCGCTTGTATGTGATTGAAGTCAGACTCTGGCTCATCCTGGTCCTTGGGGGAGCTTTTGGAGTGGATCTTGCCAATCTCCTCGAGGGCACTGGCAAGAGAGTCAAGGTCAGCACCGTCCTGGTGGCGAGCCTCCCAAAGGCTCAGTATGACCGCCGACGGGCTCCACTGCTTTGCAAAATAACCCAGGTTTCTGTAGAGGAGCACACAAAGCCGGATTAATGAATGACACAGGAAGAGGTCACTCTCAGGGACAAAACACTGGCAAAATGTTTAGTTGGCTTTAAATATGGACTGTATCCTTACTGATGATGTATGTATTTATCTTATACTAGATGTGAGTCAAATTGAATCTGTAAATGAGAAAAATCGTTTGAATTTCCTTTGAAAGAGTGTTGAGTGTGATTTGATGCACAGAAAACAAGGAAAATAGTTCTCAAACTGTGGACCTTAAAGGTACAATGTGGAAGAACTGAGACTGTCTAATTCATATTCCAAAAAAATCAGGGGCAGCATATCACAGCTAACTGCTTTTAGCTCAGTTACACGTGCAGCTAACTTAGCAGTCCTATTAGCTGACTGAGAACCAGAAATGGAGCCGGGCGAGCGGGCAACAGAAGCAGGCTCGGCAAGCTTCCGGTTAACATGGCCAGACCGGGACCAAACACAGCCTACGAGACCAAGGAGGCTGTGTGGCAATAGGAAATACAGTACTGAGGTGACTCTGACTTCGGGGAAAAACGAAGACACAGCGGGTTCAAGTGGTAAGGTACAGCTGAGCTATACTATCACACTATTGCCTCTCGAGGTACAAAGTGATATTACAATCCAGGATGGCCTGGGGCTGGCTGGTTAGCATGCTCACTTCAGTAGATAGCTCCTATATGACACAACAGGCCACAAATAAATACATTCTCATCCATACACATTTGGTGCTCTAGTATTTGGCACAGAGGAATGATATATAGATCCTGCTTCTATATACACAATACTGTAATTATACTATTAATCAGTTCATTCTTGGCTGGTTTTTCATTGGATTTGTTGCCAATCAATATTATATATTAAACATATTATTAAATGTTTAAAAATCTATTAGATAGATAGATAGACAGACAGACACCCAAACATTTATTTTCTAGAAGATCCTACAGGTAGGTCTGTCAGGTCAAAGTAAATGAACCCCTTATACTGTACTTCACACACTGGTCCCATTATCCCATGCAAAATGGATTTGTTTTACTATAATTATGTATATTAAAATGTATACCTAGTTAGAGAATGAAATTCACAAAGAACGGTTATCCACATGTCCCACAACACTCCAAACGCCAGTCCTGGATCACTACTAACAAAATCCATATGGGTCCTTGGGTCCTCTTCATTTGACTATAAGCAAATCCACTTATTATATCTGTAACTGAAAATAAATTTAACCTTAAATTTCTTAGTGCACTAAACAAAACCATCTTGTAGGTAAAACAAAAAGTAGGACCTATTAAAACTCTTAAAAACATAATAAAAATAAATTACCACCACAAAAGATGGGTAATTACTGGCAAACACTGTTTGATTTGGATTTAATTCTCAGGTGCTGCCAAAATTAAACAAAGGACGGCTTGTTGCCATGCCAATACAATGACTGTATGTGTCATGTTGTGTTGAATCCAGTCGGGGGCAGTGTTTCACTGCCACTCCTTCGTGCTTCACAAGAGAAAAATCATCAAGCAACATAAAAGGCTGCAGCCATTGGTCACATCAGGCTCAGTTCAAAGCCGCCCAACTTGGAGAAGAAAGCTTATCTGGATAATTTGGAATCTCAAAGGACTCTTAGATACCAGCGTCTCATGATTCATGCACTTAACAGGAGATTATAGCTGCCACAAGCTAAGACCAAATATAGAAGCAAAGACAACAACTGGATTGCGTAAATATTAGCGTAGTATCTCCTCATAAATGCATATTACATATTTTTTATTTCATCAAAAAGGACAAACAAGTGAAAAATAAGTCATCACATTTTGTTTGGCTGACTGACAGAAATGTTAGAGATGAATTTGATTTAACATTATTTTAGATTTTAATTAATCATATAATAGGGCCAGCAAAAAAAACACAACACACATAAACACAGCATACAGTTCAATTACCAGCCCTGTCTTCTGCTGCTGAGAAACAACATGAGAAATAAAAGGTACCTCACAACAAGAAGCATATAAAGCCCCATTCGTGAGGGTAACAACACTCACAGGATTGTTATAATTCTTGTCTGCATGTGTTCATGGCGAGGCCATTACAGAGAAAAATGTGAATATATCGTGCAATCTCAGAGAGGATGCACATCATGCACTCACCGATCTAAGTGGAGTTTCTGGGCTAAGAGTTGCCAGTCCTTGCCCTTGGCATTGGCAGTGTCGAAGGTGGCACAGATCCTCTGGCGAATGGACAAGGGGATTTTGAAGGCCTTGGGCCCCGTCTGGGACGTGATGGTGCAGTCTGTCTGCATAAAAAATGGAACTGACTCCTTTTCAGTCTGGAGGAACAGAACAGAAACAGACTATAATCAGACTGGGGTCAGATAGGAATTGCAAATGTCACTCTGTGCTTCTTTTAACCAGCCTGGAGAGCCAGATGGACGGGGTTTACTGGGTCAGGACAATTCAGACAGGTGTGTAACATTTTAAAACATCAGTGCCTACACTTGAAACAAATAGGACAAATGTGGAGACATCTGGTAGGCTCTCGTCACGCAGTTAGTGCTGGCATTTCTCAAAATGAAAGCAATACTCCACCCCAAACCTATCTTTTGATTATAAAACACTCAGTGATGTGGACTTAAAATGTGGCTTTAAATGTTGGGAGTTTGCTCAGTTTGGGTAAACAGAGGGTGAATCAGTTTGAATTCAGCTCAGTTACAATGGATCCCAAGCAAGAGGGAAGCAATCTGATGCGAACGCGGAAGTCCCTCAAACCTGCATTCTATCGAACGGCCAGCAGGGGGCGACTCTTCTGGTAGCAAAAAGAAGCCCAGCTACATTAGAAATAATGGTAAAATGACCCTACTTCTCAGCTGAATAATTACCTCAGTAAACACTTTCATAATGAGTTTATGGTCTCAAGTTTTCTTCAATACAAAATGATGTTGATTTAGTAAATAATGGTCCCATTTATTTTAAAATGGACCATAAAGCAGAGTATGTTTCAGACACTGTGTAAATTTAACCAGCGTCGTTGAAAAAGCTTATTAGGAGTTGGCTGTTCACTTTCTCTGGTGAGTACATTTAGTTTTAAGACTGTTGTTCGCTAGACAAAGTCATTTCTTATACAGTCTATGATCCCAACAATGAAGGCCTGCCTCCCACCTACCACTGCTCAGAACCACTTTAACCCAGCGGCCTGCTAGGTGAGCAAGCACACAGTTACTTTCACAATAAGCAAACACCATTCTCTAGAAAGCTAAAGAGGGACTTCATCCACCACACTCAACACAATATGTACTTAAAGCATACTGTAAATATGAGCATACACACAGACAGCAATGAATGAATGGGTTCACTATCGAACTCTGTTGTAAGTTAAACATTGAAGCTGAGGTTGTCTATCATTAGAATGCTCGGCTTTCTGTAGCTTTTACCTTGAGATATTTCTGGTCTAATAATGCCTATATGATTACAATGCAGGCCACAGGCCGTCTGTCAACACTGGTGAACCGGATAGTAAAGGTTAATATCTGTCATGAACACTGAGTCTCCTCACAAATCATTCAAACTACTGAAAGAATTCCACTTTTTTCAGCAGTAGCAGAACCCACAACACAAACATGACAGCAACATGCATGTCCAAGATGTGTCAGTGTCCGCTGGCAAGACTCCTGTTGTCGCTTTGTGTATTTGGTTAAGTTGTGTGATTTGCAGTAGGGCTGCCCCCTAAATGTTTTCACTGCTCAGTTAGTTCCGGGAAAAAACGACGACCTGACCTGGAAAGACGAGGTTTTCAGACCCGGGGCAAGGACCCAGTGGGAAATGCTGCCAGGGAGAGGCGCTGATGAGCACCACAACTGGATCAGAGCGAGTGGTTAACAGAAATGGGTTCAGCAGCCTCCCATTGATCACAGGCCAGCACAGAACGCAGTCTCCAAAACCAAGATAATAAGTCTAAGAGTATTTGTTTTTGTGAAGTTGGAAGTTATTTTCATTCCCGTGCTTTGAACGAGACTTGTGTGATGTTACACTGTGTTGAAATAAATGAATGAAATATTCAGTCTCCTTGCTGTTTGATCTGATACATTCAGAATCATTACCGCCTGATGTTAACAGGCATCTCACTGCGTGCCTCTTATAAAATGTATATTTTAAAGGCTCATTATTACGGTTTTGTATTTCTCTGTAATGAAGTAGTGTTTACATTAATTCCTTAGCCCTGGACCTCAACCCATTTTCTGATGCCCCCCAAAAATATATTGAAATAATTAAATTAATCTCATAAATGTGCAAAGACTTGTTAATTAATGGCTTGTACTAGTGACTAGTAGGAGAATTTAAACGGTCGCAGCCCTAATTTGCAGCACGCTTGTGTATTTGCAGCTAAATGCTGTGCATGTGCTGTCAAACTGATGAAGATGTTTTCTTAACTTGCTTGCCTTTTGTCTATTTGCATGTGTTGTCTTGAGTTGCAATGTGTTTGCCCTTGTCGACAACATAATTATCCGCCCCTTTGACTCCTGACTTCCTGTTTGGTCTCAAATCACAGTCCACCAGATACCCCATCATATCCAGCCTGAGGCACATCCAGCTCACGCACGCATGTCGTCTCCTGAAGTTCCTTTAATTTTTATTTTATTGGCAGCCATTGACTAAAGAATTGACCAACTGACCTCTAAAGGTATGGTCACATTACACTTATTTACCTTAAAAATGCACTCCATCTCCCATCCACTTGAATTCATGCCCATACGGCTGACAAATTCATGCATGCGTTGACAGTTTCGCTTCACTCTCCAGCCGGCTATGGTGGACTCGCAGTTCACTTTTGTTCACCTGTGACTGAGCGGTTGTGCGTGGTCGACATATAGAAACACTGACGCAGTGTGTTTGGAAACACAGTATTACTGCCATTCTGCTGTGTGCCATCAACCTGTTTAGTACATCACGCTGCCAGACTTCCAACAGCATCGCTCTCTTACACTGTTTACAGTCTGTGATAGCTCCGCTCAGTATTTATTTATCACCCACTGGAGCCCTGACATCACATTCTTTGTCAGGGCTGAGGGCTGGACCGTTCTATTGAATGGAAAGCTGATGTAACAACGCCCTGCACATGATCAACACAACGCAATGCGCTCAACATAAGGAGGGATGCAGAGCTCAGTGTAGAGGCACACAGTAGTGTAGTTATACATGCACATCAGAAACTATATATGTAATTTTCAAGTTGTCGGTTATCATCTCAGGTCAGGCTGTTTGCTGACTTTGTAAAATGCAATAACGTTGGCTTTTCATTCAAGTGAGGCAACAGGCCTAACCAGGACAACGATATATGTGTCTATCCACCACTTTTTATTGCAGATTTTCAAGTTGTGCATTAACCCGCATGGCTGAGGTGGAAAAGTTGGTGTTTCGATAAAACATCAGGTATGTGTGGACTGATGAGGAGACTACAACATTTCTCACATTAATACATTTTAACAAACACAAATTTGGGTTTGGGCACTAAACTAAACTGAGGCTTTTTGAAGACCCTTTTTTTCCTCTCTCTCTCTCTCTCTCTCTCTCTCTCACCTGTAATTCACTGGTCTTGCTGTTTTGCGTGCATTCTGTGCTGCCGACAACTACATGCACGTCGCAGTTCCTCATGGGTCTATTTCAAGTAGCCGGCTATTTAAAAAAAATAAAATATTCTTTGTGTGGTTCATCAACGGTGATAAATTATCCGAAAGTCAACTCGGCACAACACCAGTGAAGCTGGGCCTCCGTCTCTTCAGCAAGTGTTCCCCCTGCCACTACACACATACACGCTACGCCTACACGTGCGCACTGATGACCCAGGGTTAGGGTTACAATTTTGGATTTATTCACGCACTTTAAAAACATTTATTGAAAGTTTTTTTCTTTTTAAATATTTATTTACAGCATTAAACGTTGAAGTGTATATTGTAATAGGCTATATATTACCTTATTGAGAGAAAAATCAGACGTTGAGCACCCCCATATCACCAAAATGACATGATCCTTCTTTCGACTGTGAGATTGACAGTCGAATCAGTATCACTATCTGGGGTCAGCCCTAATATAATTTTTTTATATATTATCATATTTAATGATCATATTTATTTTACTGTGTTAGCATGTGAGTGTGTGTCTGAGAAGAGTGAATAGAAGCAGTTTCTTTTATGAGAGATGACTAATTTTTTAGTATGAAACATGCAATGACAATAAAAGCATTCACTCCTGTGGCCGTGGAGCAGCTTTAAAACGGCTGGGCTGGTGCTCTGTATGAAGACACTATTGATCCAACCTGCTGACCCACACTGTAAAATGGTGTAGACTCTCTACCTCTTTTTACTGTATGTGAGGAAATGAACGTGGTGATGATTTGAATTCTACTCACAGCTCCTATAAATGCTTTTATTTCTTCTTCCTATCTGACAAACCCTAACCAATCATGAAGGTAGGATTAAAACAAACCATAAAAATTAATTGCAAATAATATTTCACCCGTGTTTGTGACTGTAATGCCACAAGTTTAAATAGTGTTGGTGGCCTTGAGATAGGACAAGCACATTTGTGAGTGGTTGTGAAAAAGCAGTTGGGTAAAATCAATGAGTAGCACTCTCTTCCGCCTTAACAACTACTGTCAAGGTGCTCTTGAGTGAGGATTTCTAACTCCTAGCTGCTCCAGTGGAGCTGCTCAGCGGCTGACAGAAGACTGTTGTTACACCGGGCAGCTCCCAGGTGTTAATGCATGTGAATGTGATGCAGGCTATTTGCTGGAACACATGTCTCCCTGGACAAATAAAGGTTAAAAAATATGTACGCTAAACGCGGTGAACAGCTGGATCTCTGATATCTGCGTTTAGCATAAATCTGTTGAAGAGTAGAGAGGAAGGAAGAGTGTCCTCCTCGCTCTATTAATACACAATGCAAGCTCAGGAGAGCTGGCCCTGCTGTCAGTGGACACACTCCAGGAAGGTTACATAAAGGTTGAATGCGAAAGTGACCCCCCCCCCCCACCACCCTCCACCCTCCCCCACCTTCCCCCACCTTCCCCCACCTTCCCCAAGCTCCCGCAGCTGCAGAGCCTCACCTCGGCCACAGCCGTGTAGACCTGCAGAATCTGCTCATGGCCTTTGACCTGCCGCACGCTGATTTTGCAGGAGAGCTGGGCGGTGGCAGGGCTGTATCTCTCCAGAGAGAAGGCACAGTGCAGGGGCTGCTGGTTGCTGCACCACACTTGGGGGAAGGAGAACTCCTGAGGTGGCAGAAGAGGGACATCAGAAACATAACACAGTACACAGCAATGTTAACATATACTCTAAATGAGATGATTCAGCTCCCTGTTCTACATGTGGCCACGCTGTCACATGCACAGCCACTTGCAGCACACTGCAAGATAAAAGGTAAGAGTTGGCTTTGAAGTCTCAATGGCTTGATGTATTTATGCAGGGAAATAACTATTGTTGAAGAGAGAAAGACAAAATCCTGATATTATTATCGAGCCTGATTCCCTCGTACAGTATCTGTGATGGCAGAAGCAGCTTGCGGGCTAAGTACTGTAAGCAATAGGAATACGAGGAATGGGGAAAAGATTTCCTTTGATGTATAATTAATTTCCAGAGAATCTGTGTGGAAACGTCCTTGACCTCTACTAGACTCCGTCTCCGCCATATCTGCATATTAAAAGTGACCTGTAAACGATTCTTAGTGAAGAATGTGGCATTAAAAGCTGCGGCCGGGGTGCGAACTGATGACTTAACCCTTGCAGCTTTGATCTCGGATGCCTCACGGCAGCAGATAATTGAGTCTGGGAGCGGTGGCCGAGGAGGGAGGGGGCGGAGGGGGAGGAGTGACGGACGTGGAAAGCTCGGATGCTCTTTAGCACTAAAAGCTGACTTGATGTATGGCATGACGCTCGGCTATTATTCTACACCTGCTCCGCCAAAGCAGCTTCACGGTGCCTGACTGTCATCCCGAAGCCCTCATAAATAAGTCTGTGGAGAGAGTGGGTGTAAGACACAGAGCTTTCACCCTGCATTCAGATCTTTAGCAACAACAGCGTACAGCGGGGACACAGCTCAGCTGCTCTGCAAACGGCAACAACAGGTACAAAACAGCATTCACAGCCTGCTGCGGTGCGCCTCATCATATACTGCTTCCATCTTAATGCCCCTGCAAGCAAAACAAACATAAAGCTATTAATCTCACGTCACGGCCATCTTAAAGATCCTCAAGAGAGAATGTGGATGACAGCAGGATTCAAGCTACAAGAGCGGTTTTAAAGCACAAAAGAGTCGAAGAGAAATTATTTTCATTAAGCCGGATTTGACTATCTTCTTTGTAGGAGCATATGTGATAAGTATGGCTGCCAGACATCACTGCCTATGAAGGTTGTATTTATTAGCATCTGACTACCTTAGCTGCAGTTTAGAGCGGGTTTAAAATGCATGCTAAGCTAGGCCTGATCGCTGTGTCAAAACGAGCACAGGTTCAGCTCAGTTCTTTATTCTTCTTTCGGATACTTGGATACTTTCCAAATCAATCTGTCTCTTGTTAGTTTCTCCAAAGTTTCCTAGCCCAGCTTTAACACATTTGGTCCCTACGATATTAACTCTGTAACCTAACAATATGCTGCTGTATCAATTATTTGTAAAATACACTACTTGTATTCACTGTTGGGAGTAACGTGTACAAAAGTAACGCATTATAGTAACGCGTGGCTTTTTGCTGTAATTGGGGTAATATTACACCCGTTACAATCTCAGTAACACATATGCATTTTAACATGAAATTAAGTGTTTTTTTATTTGTTTTTTTTATAATTCACCAACACTGCAAAACATTTCAGCACTGCAA